CCCCCCCCCCCACCTGGTGCTGCTGTTCCTACTTTTAGTTTTAAAGTAGAGCTTGAAGGCTCATTCCAACACTTTTATTCACCTTAAAGTTAAGTGTCTGAGTTTTTGTTTGTGTGTGGGTGTGGGGAGGTCCCTTCTCCTCCTTTTTCATCTCAGTGAGCTTCTCCATTTCTATCTGATAAGATAAAGGTTTCGCATGTGAATGAGAGGCATTCTCACTAGCTGCCCATTCACCTCAAAGTTCTCACCATAAAGTGATTAAAGGCTCTTTGCCGTCTGCTCAACCCCCTCTGTGTGTGTGGCAGAGGTACACTAGATCTGTAAGTCAGTGTAACACACCAATTTAACGAACACCCTGGTAAATTTCTTTGTTCTCAAAGCATCATGGGAAGATGTGTTCCTACATTGTAACGCTTAGTTTTGATCTGCTTTTTGCATCATTTAGACTTATGCTAAGATTAAATAATGCATAATAAATAAATGCACCTACATAATATACACAGCTATAACACAGGTCTGCCATCCACATTTCATTATAATAAGTTTGCATGTCCTCTCAAGCAGGTCTTGCTCGTTTCTGTCTTCCTGTTGCCTACTGATGATGATGCATATAGAAACATTTAATTGTTCTGTGGAACAGCTCTGATATGTTTTTTGACTATACACAGGAAGCTGGTATTTGATTACTCATATTGCAAACCAAAAACATCAGTTCAGTTGGCAGAAATGTAGATTAGTGCTCCAGCAGTCGCAGGGACTCAAATGAAATTAGAACCAGCGCAGGTGCCATCAGTATAGATTCATACAAACGGCCATATGCTACTTAAAAACATTAAAATCACTGTTCAGAGTTATTGAACTGAATGCTTTTTACAAATGGCCACATGTTTGTCTTTTAGTTTGAGCTTCCATTTGACCATTACAATAATATCACTGGTGTCATTTTAGCCAGTTATTTCTCTTACTGTCTTTTAGAAAACCTGGACACATCAGTGATTAATGTACAGGGGTTATTGCAAAAGAAAAGGCCTCAGTCCTAAAATTAGTGGCCGCGTGTCAAGGAAAATTAACTCCCAGGGTCCTCTGGCCTTTGTGCAGGTGAACAATGGGGCCATGCATTCGAATGAAGCACCCTGTGGCCGTGACCGAGCCCCTGTTTGTCTCAGCGGTAGTCCCTTTATAGTCCCTCACTGCTCTGATGTCTTTCTCTGACTCAGTTGGCTTCCAGTCATCTTCTGTTTACAGGTCCTTCACTTTTAAATGGCCCCATCCTGATTCTGTACCTGCATGTGAGACTAACCTGGTGTGTTGAGGGTCCGTTACTGGGGTAAGGAAGGTCACACGTTGAAGAGGAAATGGTTAACAGTAAGCAGCACAGAGAGGCCTGATGGGACTGGGGCTCTATGGACGTCCACGCAATGCCACTCAATTGTCATGGCTCACCAATCATGTTTCCTCGCTGCTCAGGACGTTGCAGCAGATGCCCAGCTGTGACTCAGTGTTGGAGGATTAGAACACATCACTTTTGTTTGTTTTGTTTCTCACTGATGGGGGTGTTGCTAGTTGGCTCACTTGGACCCCTGCCTGTGTTTGTAACGATTTAAACCTCAGTTTTAACCACTGGTGTGTCCTAATTGTTGTTTAATATAAATCTGCGTTTTGGAGATTAACTACTTGTCTCCTTTTAAATTATAACCTGTCGTGGAATATGATTCCCTGTGGTTTGGGCAAAGAAAGAATGCAGGCCGATGGTCGCACGTAATAGATGGATGATAACTCACTCCAAAAAATAAATAAATAAAAGAAAATGGGATTAATGCCTATCAAAACAACCCCGTAATTAATGGATCGGTTTTCCTTTGCCAGCAGTCTGCGGTATGAGTGACTATTTAATCATATAGTCGCACTACGGGAATTTTAGAGAGGGGTTTCCCATGTTGTGTTAGCCAGTCTATGGGATTTATCCTCAAAACTGCACCACACCTTCCCCTTTCCTTCATCTCTTTCCTTTCTTTGGGAGTCCAAAATGTTTCTATAAGGACACTAGTATCCAGAAGATGATCCTATTCAAAGGTCACTTCAGGTGAAGGCAGTATCAGTTAAAATACAGTGGATAAAATGACTGATTAAGCCAAGAACTCGTAAGATCAAAATCATCATTATATCCAAGTACCGATATGAAAGAGAGCTATCAATCATTTTTGCATTCCCGAAACTTTTATCTTCCACCTCTTTCTGCCAAGCAACTATTCATGGAATGTCACCCTGACCCCCAACCTCACAGAGAAGCTTCACCCCACCCCCAACTCGAACACCAACCCCTGCATCCTGCAGTTTAGGGTTAGTGGTGGTGGTCAGTGTGTTAGAAGAGCTTTGTGATGTGGGTGGGAAGAGGGATCAGGGTGGGGGCAGCAGTTTGGAATTTCTTTTAAAGGGGGGGATGGGTTGAAGGTTATCCCCACCAGGTTTACCACTCAGACAACACCAAATAGACAATGCAGCGTTAGGGAAACAGTGCTTTGAATTGCAAATCGGTGTGTGCATACTGCTGAGTAGAGTGGGAACAGCAAGCTTTGGTGCTTGTTTGCTCATCATCAGGTGAGGCCTGGCAATCACCTTAAAATACTAAATGCCTGATAAGCGCAGTTGGCCTCTGATGATATCACACCGTGAGGAATGAGTGGGGGTTGATCTCAAGGGTCAAAGTCTCCACAGGCTCAACGTGGAGGTGATTTGGTGTGATATTAGGAGTTGTAAAACATCCAATTATCACTCTATATATCATACAAGATATCTACATGTGATGGAGAAGAAAACACATCGTTTATCAATCAGCACTCTCCCATGTTGCAAATGCTTTATACACTTGAATGGCCAGAAAACTCAAATAAATGAAACAGTTACGCTCATGATGGAAAATCTCCCTATGTTCCCTTTTCAGAGTAAGTTGCACATGGAAGGCTTCCGCAGCCTGAAGGAGGGCGAGGCGGTCGAGTTTACCTTCAAAAAGTCATCCAAAGGTCTGGAGTCACAGAGAGTGACCGGACCAGGTGGCATCCACTGCGTGGGCAGTGAGCGGAGACCCAAAGGCAAGAAAGTCCAAAAGCGGCGTTCAAAGGGGGACAGGTACGCATGGATGAACTGGGACACAACAAGAGAAATATCTTTAATTTCTTTCAGTTCCATCTTCAATTATTTGAAGCATCTTGGTGTCAGATTAAAAAATAAAATTTGTGAAATACTTCTATGGTACACTATATGCAAACTGTACTAATAACAGCAGAAAAAACACCACTAACCCAATAAAAATAGCTCTAAAGCTAATTAAAATTAGCAGTAAAACTTCAACACTCATAAACTTTACACAGTAACACAGGAATAAAATATTTCAGTTTTACTTTTTACTTCTTTAACAACAGCAAAAAATAAATTAAATAATAAAAAAAAAAAATCCTGCACTTTTTTTGTTGAGTTTGAAGTAGATACACAATGATGTTGTAGTTTCTCCCTATTTTGCTTCCTCTCCCTTGACCCCAACCCCCACATCTAGCCCTAGTAAGGGTCACATCAGCAGGCTTGACGTGTGACCTGGATCAATAACTGTTTAAATCTGCTGGCCCCTGGTGAATTCAAACCGACCCACTCTCCATCTCCTCCAAAACCTCCTCTACCAACCTCATTTGATAAAAGCGTTGACTTCAAAATAACTTTAAACTCCTGTTTTAAAAATCAAGGTGCTAGTTTGATGTTATCAAAATAAAATATGTCGATTTTTTTTAAAGGCGTTTCTAAAAGAAATTTAAAAAGTGATAAATTTAATATGTCAGTACTAATGATTAATATGTTATAAACGAAGAAAACATCAGCTTCTGTTCAGAAGGGGAAAAAAATTCTCATGAAGATCAAAAGGCAAAGGCAACAATACCCCTCCCAGCAGAAGAAAAAAGAACTAAGGGGGCCTTGATACTCGGGATAGTCTTTGAATATTCATTTAATGCAGGGTTAGAGGTGTATCAACTTTACCCCCTCTGTCAGTTGTGATTACAGCCAGAGAGTAGTGAGTGTGAAAACAGATCATTACTGCCTCAAAGAGTCCTGGGAGGGCTGCTGTGTTCAATACCTCTCCCTAGACTGTGCTGATCCAAAGATATCATTCCCCTTCAGTGTATTTCATTATGCAACACTGGATTGGGTTTCATGGATGTATGCGTGTGAATAATTGATCATATTTATTACCTATATGGGGATAATTATATCAATTTTCACTTCACCGGGGCAAAACACGGCACCTTTTTGAGGGTATTTGTACATATACATCTATATATTTATATGACTGAAACAAGGGGGAAAAGCCCTCCTGTCCATTTAATTGATAACAGATGTAAGAGCCCTGCCAAGGGGGTGAAGGGTCACTGTTGTCATGGCAACGGTGTATGAGTAAAAGCAAGAGAGCTGGGGGGCTGGGATGGGATTGGGGAGGGGTTGGGGGTCAGAGTTCAGAGGTCATTACTGCAGCTTTTTTAGACAAAGGGACCACTTCCCCTTCCTTCCACTTGCCTTCTGATGGATGCTGATGTAGGGAGCTTCTGTGATGTGATGGTATAGACCTTGACACCACCCCCAACGACCACAGCTACAAAGCCACACTGACCCTTTGGCAGCCGCCCTTATCCAACCTTATCTGGTGCTACAAAGGTAGCAGAGGGTCCACAGAGCCACATACTGACCGCCCCACGCCCACAACCCATCTGTCTTCTGCCCCTGTACGCGTGGCCATGCTATAGATTACAAACGGTGGACAGTGGGCACCTTATGGGTCTACCTTTGATACAAAAGCATCTCAAGCAGTTCACAAAACTTAAAGATCCATGGTAACAAGGTCCGCATAAAAATACCAGGTTTGCCACCCAATTTATGTCTTCTAAAAACCCTCCTAATCAAAACAGACGCTACTGAAACTTAATGGTATTTTTGGTCAAATAGAAAACTTTTAAAAACATTTCCTTCTACTGTTTCCCTAAAGACTTAAAGTATGACCAAATGCAAACTCATTCATTTTAGGTGACATGTTGCCATCTAGTGGTAACTTAAAAGCTTTAAGTTGAGGGCTTTACGTTGTAACTTGCTGCAGCTTGAAAACGTCAACATGCAAAAATATCTCTTAGTTGTCACATTAGTTACTACTTTTTGGTTGGTATAGAGTTTGATATCAAGCTGGAACATTATCTGACCTTAAAATGTTGTTTTCAGATGTTTAATCACAAGCAGAGTATTATTGTATCACAACATTGTGATACAATAATACAATAATACCACATAATAGGTTGCTTCATCTCTTCTGGATATGGAAGCTATATCATATCCAAATACAGAGATATACTTGTGTTTCCTGCTTGTTTTCTTGAGACCACTGCAGGTTCAATAGACGTCTTTCTATTCTTTCAGATGCTACAACTGTGGAGGCTTAGACCACCATGCCAAAGAGTGTAAGTTACCTCCCCAGCCAAAGAAGTGCCACTTCTGCCAAAGCATTGACCACATGGTTGCCAGCTGCCCAATCAAAGCACAACAGTCTTCACCGGGTTCTCAGGGAAAACTGTTCTCCTCCAAAGGAGACGAGGAGGAGCACAGCCAGCAGGCACCACCTACCGAGACCTCTGATTAAACACAGTATCCGACTCTGGGGAAGCACAGAGGCCAATCAAACTGCTTTGATGGAGTGGAGGGAGACTCAATCCCCTTCCACCTGTTGAAGCTGCTTTTGGAACTACCTCAGGTTAAAAATACTCATGAAGAATGTTGCTGAAGTCTTTTTTTTAATTTGGTTTTTATTTGGTGTAACACTCAGGAATACTGCTGTACTATTGCACTCAGGACGCTTGCTTAATGTATGAATCACTGGTATTGGGGATTGGAGATTGTAGTGAGCAATGCTATGTAATGGATGATCTTCAGGAGTTTACGTAGATTTCTGTTATATAATAATGTGCCTCTGCTGTGGGCATTATACCTCTTCTTCTTTGAGTAATACTCAGTGTGTTTAGTATAGCTACACTTTTGCTGCCTTACCATTTTGTTTCCTTCCTGACTGTTACACCTCACTATCCGACAGGGCGTAGATGTAACAGTTAGTACATCTGTAATGAATGTTAGAGTTTGCATATCATACGGGGATGGGGGAGGGGTTTGTGAAATAACATGGGGGGGGGGTTAAGGGTATATTAGCAATGTATTGGCAGCTGCCAATATTGCAATTGACCATCCAGTTTTCCTGGGGCCAAATGAATGTTAGACCAGAGGTGCTTTCCAGCTTTTGGTCAGGTTTGTTTTTTTAAATTTGTTTTTTGTTTTTTCATTTCATTTTTTGTTCATCCAGTATTTGGCTGGCTATCTAAAAGTACATGGTTTACCTCACTGGTCCATGTTTGGTCTGCTAGTAAATCTATCATCCTAAAAGCCGATGACAAACCAACTATTCTCAGAATACAGCTTCAGAGATTGTGATTTGAACTGGGGTTAAGTCAAATCCTCTTTGCACTACAGTATTTACACCACACCGCCATACTTCCTTAAAGAGTAACTCAACAGTTCCCTGACTTTACTGACCTGTAGCGGATTGACTTGTCACTTCACACGTCGATGGATAGGTTTACCAAACACTTTGTGAAATCAGTCTCTGGTGAGCATACATCAGACCACATCCAAGCCAGGCTCTCAGCCTTTCATATAGTCTCAGAATGGGGGGAGTTTGTGGGGTTATCTTGAGTTGAGGTTGGCGATTATGTCAGGGCTGTAACACATTAAAACAGCTTATGAAAGTGAAAGCAAACTCTGGGTAGAGTGTTAGAGAAGTGAAGTTAACAGATCTCTGTAGTCTGTTTACCATATATGCTTGAGGCTGAGAGCTCGGTCTAGTGTGCCAACCATAGCCTAGTGTGTCTTTCTGAAAAACTGGTATAGGGTTTCGGTAATTAACAGGAAGAAAGAGGTTGGGGGACTATTTTTACAAATCCTGCCCATTTTCTGACAGGAAGTTTTCTTTGGGCACACATACTACACCATACCAGCTGTCATGTGTTGCACTACCTTGGGATAAAACATAGCAATCAAAATACTGACCCAAAGGGGGCAGCAAAAAAAAAAGTTTCTCTTAATTTTAAGTTGTTTTCATGGGAGTTTGAACCATTGTCAACTTTCCATGTGAAGTATCTTCTAACTGCAGTGGCTGCTGTGTATAAGAGCGCTGTTTTATAATCACCTCAATTTGGATTTGAAAGAATTTAAACCAATGTGACACAAACCCCGTTACATCTACGTCACTTCTGGTAAGATATTTGATCTGGACTTAAGTTAGTAAAGGGTCTGGCTAGCTCTCCTCTTGCTTGAGTAAAACTGAGGCAGAATCAGACAGTGGGAAGCCTGGTGTTTTTGTTTATATCCACTAGTAGGTAGTTATTTAAGACATTACCTCCCTATAACCCTTAGTAGGGTAGTAGTTCAGGAACACCAAGCCTGCACGGAGGAGCATGTAGGTCTAGCTAGCTAATCAGCATTTTACTCCCGTTTTACAGGAGAAGCTGACTGAGTCTTTTACACCCAATTAATATATATGTAAAATTATTCTAAAACTTTTTTAAAACTATCATACTTATTTATTTTCATCCAAAAGTGCTGCAGTTTCTCCTTCCGCTCCGATTGAAGCCTCGCAGCACTGAATGTTCTAGTAGACAGCAGAAAATTGGCAAATATCATTAAAAGCTACATATGACTTGAGAATACATTGGGGTAATACATTTTTAACATCAAGGTACTCATAATACTTTGTACATATGTGCTTGATAATTCATTGTAATATAATTTAATATGGATGCAATGCAACAGAAATATTGCAACCAAAAACAAACAATATACAGTGCATACTGTACAGGTACACAATATAGGAACCGATGTTAAATGTGAGGGGTTTTTTTTTGTATGATTTTCTTGTGAGGGTTTTGTTTTTTTCTTTGGTGCACAATTAACCTTTTCAGAGGAGAAGCCCGTTGTTGTTAATGCCAAAACCAATGCAATATTACTCTGCACTAATCGTAAAATGCATTAATATTTGTTCTATTCAGTTTAATCACTTTTGAATATATGTTTCCTATTTTATATATATTTTGAATTTTCACAAACTACACACAGTTGGTTGCTGGTTGGGAAAAAAAGATACCTCCGCTCTTTAGGCTCATCTCAGGAATTACCAATCTGAAATCTCAGGGAATGCTTCAGATTGATTGGAAGGAGTCATGGGGTGTTAGCTCAAGAAAAAGCAGGGATTAAATGCTCATTCGCATGATGTGAGGTGTGTGACGAGGAAGCCAAAGTGAATGTCTTGGTGCAACAGTTTCAGTTTTGTACTATAATACAGTTTTGATTATGAAAACAATGACTACATGATGATGATGTGAAATGATTGTTGCTTTTTGACTCTTTCATATGTCCATGCACCCAGTGTGATGATGTTCTTTATATTTTTTCCTCTTTCAAATAACTTGCCAATGATATACGATATGAAGAAAATGTTCCACTATTATTGTATTTTTTTTTCCTCTATAATCGTTGTAGATGGGTATATAGTAGAATATCTTAAAGGGGCTGGGGTTAGTAGTGTATAATCCGGTGTTGTCTCATCTCAACACATCGATCTTTGGTGTTTCAGACTATCAATGCTCATGACAAAAAGAATGTGTGTCACGGATTGCTTCATACTCTGCTGTTAGTCTTCAAAGTTTGACGGTTGCTAAATTGTTTTGATAAACATTTTTTTAAAAGGATGGAAAAGGTGGCGTGCTGAGAGTTTATTTTTCTGCACACTTTGATTTTTGAATTTACCACAACTGCAGCGCCAGTATGTCATCAAAGTGTCGCACTGTAATCACTCACACTCTAACTGGTTTACAGGAATTTCAACACTGACCAGTAAGGGTAACTGAAAGTATTTGTTTTCAAAATATCACTTGGAAACTAAGGAAGGTCATTTCAGACTTCTGATTGTAACAAACCTCTTTGGCCCCTCAGTGGTGTGCTGTTGTGATTTTATTGTCAGGTGTTGGGTTAGATAGGCTTTAAAATCCAAGGACCCACCCATGAGACTGTGTGCTCAGAGTAACTTTTGAAGCTCATCAAGGCATCCTGTAATACAGTAGTGTTAACTTGTGCTTTTAATGGTACATCTTACTTGTGACCTTCAGCCATTTAATTTGTGGTGCTGTATTTTATCAGGTAATGGCTACAGCTACTTTTAGAAAGTGATGAATGTATCAGTGTTTGTTTCCATAGAACTACACTTAACTTGATCTCAGGCAATTTAATGGCAAGTCTGTCAACGATGAGCAGCATGTAGGATTTTCAAAGTATTACTGTGATTATGTTTTATACATTATATGTAAAGATCTGCTCCGTTTCCTAATAAATATGTTAATATTCATGATTTTTTTAATGCCTTCTTACTCCAATCACCCAGTCACAAGACTTATCACACTCACTAAAGTAATAACAAAACTTAGAAAAAGTACCAGAAGCACAGTCTAAAGGTTTTCCAATACATGAAAGAGTTTTCCATTGACAGAATTAAATTAGCTGGTACTTAAATATCACCTTTCTACTCAGTAGAGTGCTTAAAGTGCTTTCTACTACAAGTCTTATTCTCACATTTATTCAGTTTTATCTATGCATAGGTGTTTGCTCAGATTCACACACACTTGCCTGATGAAGAAGCTTCAGCACTGGAGTAATCCACAATATTCTGATTGGTAAATGGTCCACAGATTCCCATTGGTAGTGGGGTAAAAAAGCATATACTAGAAGATGCAATGCTGAATCCTGAAGCAACCTTGAGCATTCGTTAATTGCACCTTGGAATACAAGAACTTCAGAACTACCTTAATTCTTTGTGGCACTGATTCAACAAGGTGGTGAAAACATTCCTCAGATATTTTACTGACATCACAATGACATCATAGCACCACAGAGATATTGCACATCCATGACGCAACCTTTCCATTCAACCACATCCCAAAAGTGCTTTATGGAACTGAAACCTTGTGAGTGTGGAGGCCAAGTGGAGGAAAGCAGTCTGAGATGATTTGAGCTTTATCACATTGTGCATTGTCTTGCCTGAGGCAGCAATCAGAAGATGGGTGGATGTTCCTAAGGGAAAAGAGAGTCAAACTCAGTACAAGCAAAGTGTACCTAATAGAGAGCCCAGTAAATATATTTAAGTAGGCTAAGAAATTCTGTGGAACTTGAGCACGTTACATCACAGTATTGTCGTAACCCACCCATGTCTCGTGATGTTCTTAAGTATGACTCAGTAAAGGAAAATAAAAAAGAGAGAACTGAGTAATCCGTTACAATTATCTATTTTCGACATTTCCCTTCCCTGAAGTGAAATACTGAAAAAAAACAAAACCATCCAGTTCCTCATATTTGTTTCATCCAAAAAAAGGACCTTCTGACGGTGTGTAGAAACGCGGAGTTCATCTCTCATCCAGCAGGGGGCAGCTCTGTGTTTACATTTTCAATGACACAACCTGACGACTACAGTCCAATATGGCCGTAGTATGAAGAGTGCCAGCTCAAGTCTGGCTTTAAACTACAAATATTATTAAATAGTCGGGTTGTTTTAATACTTTACAGCTTTGTCCCGAGTGGAAATGTGGGTGCCACTCCACGCAGTCTGTCTAAGAAGCCAGAGAGTTTGCAGACGAAGCGTCGCTGCTGCTGTTTCACAGTGTTTCAGGCACAGAGACGCTAGCGTTTCCCACTTCAGCCATTCAGCCGGACTCTCCGCACAAACATGCAAGGCACTTGTGTACAGAACCCACGGAGACCCTTCCCGAGTCGTTCAGTAAGAATATCTGGCTAAACAATAAGTGTGCGTATGTTTCTGTGACTGTGGGAGTGAAACGGTTAGGGTTAAAATGTGACTAGCCTCGCTCAGGACATGCTCCCACAGTTCCGGTGTAAAGCTCAGGTGTTTTGTCTCATAAAAGATATACAACCTATTATTGTAAACCTCAATCTCACCTTTGTGAGCCCTCGACTCCTCTTCTTCTTTCTTGAAATTTGTGGCGGGAAGCAAACAACGAGTCGCTGCGTTACCGCCGCTCACCGGTATGGAGTGACAAAAACAGGAGGAAAACATTTATGTCTCTACGTAAAGATGTTAAACGTGGCTCGATAGCAATGCATTCCTGATTTCACTTCTAGAATATCTAGAGCCTAATTTCCCATTTTCTTCTCCTGAGGATTTGTAATCATCTGTCTTCCCTGTCTTTCTAACACCTTTGACTTGGCAGAAAAATGTAGGACCCTTGGGTCTCACAGTCTTTAAGAAGTCTATCTTCCTGTGCAGTGCCTGCTCACTCCCATCTCCAAGCTTTATGATCCAGCTGTCTATTTTTTATGATCTATAAGTGGCTCTGTGTGGTGTGCTTATTGTTTATTTCTTTTTCATGGTGTGTTTGTTTCTATATTAATGCAAGCACGTAGCCTTACACTTCCTCCCAGGCTCGAGTGGCACTCCCAATCTCGTTGTATCATAATTACAAATGTAATAAAGGCATCCTCTCTATTTTCTATTCTATCCATTGAGCAAAGGCCCAGTTTTGGTGATTTTGTTACTGCTGACTAATTAACTAATTTATTATGGACACCAGTAGAGATGAACTGTGTCTTGGGCTTTTAGTTTATCTGTATTTATAAAGCCTGCCACCTAACATAAGACAATATGTCATGCAAGCTTACATGAATAGTGACTGATTGTGCAAAATGTATTTTTGGCAGGTTGGAGGGTGTAGAGCTTCCTTCCCTAGGTGCAAAGGATGTCTTGGTTAAAGTGCTGGCTGCCCCAATCAACCCATCAGACATAAATATGATTCAAGGTACTTGTAAGCAGGTAGTAACAGTCATTCATCAGGGCAGTTTAATGTGTGGCATCATGATCAGGTCAAAATCTGATGGGGGTTTTTTCAGGTACTTATGCTATCCTGCCGGATCTCCCAGCTGTTGGTGGCAATGAAGGTGTGGCCCAGGTCGTAGAGGTGGGCAGCCAGGTGAAGTCCCTCAAGACAGGAGACTGGGTGATCCCGAAAGATGCTGGTTTAGGTAAGGACTCCACAGTTCTCAAAATGAAATCTTCAGAGTGCCACTTTAGCTCCCAGCTGAAGGTGGACCTCCGCCTCTGAGCCTTTAACTAATCACAATCTCTGGCCCCCACTGCATGCTAAAATCTATCTCTGGTAAACATGGAGCTCTAAGTCGTGGGACAGCACCTTGCATGGTGTGTGAATTGGAAAATAAAAAAACATTTTATAGTGCTTTGTAGACTGTTTCCTTCCTGTGATCAGGCACATGGAGGACACAGGCAGTGCTACCTGAGGAAGATGTTATCTCTGTACCAAATGACATTCCCCTGGTGTCTGCTGCCACACTCGGGGTGAATCCCTGCACTGCTTTCAGGATGCTCTCCGACTTTGAAGACCTCAAGCCAGGTAACTAATCCACTCACAGTGGATTATTTCCTTCTCACCAAATTTCAAATCTTGGATTATTCATAGCGGTGTAGAGGTACTATATTCCCACAGCTTAAATTATTTTTGCTTTTACAGCAAGACAGACAAACCAATTTTAGAAGTAAAAAATAAATAAGATTAGAGGGTGCATTATTCCATTCTACATATTTGTGGCCAGCATGTAACCATTTGTCCAATCATTTCTGATGTCCTTTTAGGTGATTCTGTGATCCAGAACGCTGCCAACAGCGGAGTTGGACAGGCTGTCATACAGATTGCTGCTGCAAGGGGAATAAACACTATTAATGTTATAAGAGACAGGTGAACTTAATTCTTTCATATTAATGCTTTTTTTAAAATATCGATTTTCTTTTTTGAAGACTAGGGCAAATTTCTTGAACCCCATGGGGATTTTCCATCTTTGTAATAAAATTCTTCAATGTGCCTTCACTTTCAGGCCAGAGTTCACAGAGCTCAGTGATAAGCTGAAGGCTATTGGAGCTAGTCATGTAATCAAAGAAGAGGCCTTGAGGAAGCATGAGATTAAAGAACTCTTTAAGGTCTGTAGAGATATGATCTTGTAGTTTGTCCCTGCTGGTGAATGAACGTATCCAATTTATGAATATATTTTATAGACTTGTCCGAAGCCCAAACTAGCATTAAATGGAGTTGGAGGCAAGAGTGCAACAGAACTTCTCCGTCATCTACAGTGAGCATACTTAATAATCTCTATTAGTATTATACAATGTAGTTGCACTGTAGAGAGCAGGGAAAACCCCAACTCTATGTATTTGCCAGATTTCTTCCATTTATTTCAGAATCGGAGGGTCAATGGTGACATATGGGGGAATGTCCAAACAGCCAGTCACTGTTCCTGTGGTAAGAGGAAAACTGCATTTGCCGTTTTTACACAGTTTCACACTAGACAGAAGAGGTGCATGCATCATAATTGTGAGGGTGGTACTGACACTTTTCAACCTCTTAGATGCAGCTAAGAGGTTCCCAAAATCATGAACAGTCATTTTAAAGTTCCCTTTCACAAATGTGAAATATTGTATGTTGATGTATTTTTTTGCTGTTGTTGCTGCTCTTTCTAGAGTGCTCTTATTTTCAAAGATGTGAAGGTTCGAGGATTTTGGGTAACAAAGTGGAAGAGAGATCACTCTCATGGTAAGTAGGCATGGAGTTTCAAATTGTTTGAAATTAATCTAAAAAAGATAAACATTTCCCTGGGATATTGTTTTTCCTAGATGGAAGGGCATTTAGAGCCATGCTGGATGAACTGTGCTCCCTCATCAAGCAGGGAAAGCTGAGAGCTCCCGCCTGCACTGAGGTGGGTCTGCAGCAGTATCACGCAGCTCTGGATACTGCTATGCAGCCTTTCATATCAACTAAACAGGTTTTGGTCATGTGAACTAGCTGAGTGTGTCAACTAACCACCGGATGCTTGAGAACACTGCATGCATATTTGGGTGAAACCAGAGAGCTGTGACATTCTTGCTGATATGTCAAACAAATCCACATTCTCAATAAAAGTGTATTCATATGAGGCTCAAAGTCCAGCGTCCGTCATGTTCTGTAGTGACACTTTACAGCGTTTACAGGCAGCTATCAAAAGATTATTAAGTCATTATAACAAGATATGAAATGCCAGGCGTTATCACAGAACACAGATAATACAACTTTATCTTATAATATTTCCAAAACTGATTGCTTTGCTTTGAAGTTGCATGGACAATAGAAGTAATGTTATGACATTTATTATATAGAAAATCCTGATATAATCGATTTTTTTAGCTAATGTGCATGAAATTCATAAGATTGAGTTTTGGATTGACAACAAGATACAATAGAGTTTACACAAATAAAACTACGGTAGCTGACCTTTAGAGGCACAAGAATACTGTGTAGTTTTGAAACAAAGTATTCAGCCAGTACCCATAAATCAAGGTCAAGGGGCACACCAAAGATTACTGAAGACAAAGGTTGCATTTTTCCATAGTTTAATTACACACTGGAGCATGACTCATTTCATTTATAGCTGTAATATAACTGAAAGTATGAAAATGCATTATTATAGCGCTACATGTTAAATAGTGACATTTAAAACAAATACTTCCTGCTTCTTGATGTCTCTCTTGAATTATAATTTAAAGAATGAAATTCATTACAAATGTTGAAACCAGAAAACTATTCTCAGATTCCTCTGCTAAAAGTGTGCAGTTTTTAAGGTGGAACGTCATACGGCCAGTCAGAAAGTCAGAGGGGGAGTTTGCATTGCTGAATGGGTCAGTGATACACGTGTGGACATGATTTTTATACTTTTGAAACAAAAGATTATTGCATATTTATAAATTCTGAGGGAGAAAGCTTATATGTTGGTTTAGGGAAACAATAAACCCATACTGAGTTCAGAGTTAGTTATAGTTCAAAATAGTATTGAATTAATTACTCACGGGCCACCACCAGACTTAAAGCCACGGAGATGAGTGGCAGGAGGCCACCATAGATGAAAACTGCCCCCTCCTTAACGAGGCAGTGTTCATACCTGTCAAAGTCTACCTCTCGTGCTGCGCACACGTGGTCAACACGACAGTCGCTGTCACAATCCCTCAGGTCATAGTTCACAGAGTTGAAATCATAGTACTTCTGCAGGTAGCGGGGGTCATCAGCTACACGCTTTAGAACCTCGTGCATGGAGGCTGGAGAGGCATCTGGTACTCTGAAACTCTCTGTGAGGCGATACTCTTTCTCCCAGCGTCCTGTGGCTACATTAGCATGAGTAAGGTTCAGGTAATAGGTCACCACATCCTGCATGAAAGAAAGCATGTGGTTTAAACACAGAAAGCGAACAATAGAAGCATTACAAGATATTTCTGAAGGTTTTACAATCTTTTAAAATACAAATATATATTCATATAAGTTGCATAAGAGCCTATTTTTAGGCTCTTGATTGCTACTTTTGACTGCCCCGTTGCCACAAGGAGCATTTCACATGTTTGATTTGGCAGCGTTTTACACCGGATGGTCTTTCTGGAGCTACAATACAAGGGGATTTTTGTATCTGGCTGATAATGAACTAGCAACTGTTCACTTGCCAAGCAAATGTGTTAACCACTACACCCCTAGAGGAACATAAATGTCTAATGAAAATTGTAAAGGCCAAAACTTGCCTTGACTAGCAGTGTTTCTGTGTCATATTCAAAGACACGAATCCCAGGATTGTTCGCTCCATCCTTAACTCCAGGAAGTGTTGTTTCCCACGGTGTGACACCAGGGCTGAGGAACATGGTACTAATGGGAGAACCTGTAGAAATGGACAAGATATCAGCTCTGATAACAACAGTATTAGTGTGTGTTAATGTTAATGCTGGATATCAGAGACGCATTCCGGCTAAGTGATAAACAGGTAATACTAATACAAGGTGAAATGAGTACTATTACTGCAGTGTGGCTTACCCTCTGTGTTGTAGAACATACGGAAGCTATCAGTGTGATGATGGCCAAAGAACTGGCCTTTAATGACAGAATGATGCTTCTCAATTAAATCCAAATATCGCCGGTTGAACTTTGGTGTAAACCATGGTTTACTTCTTTTCTTCTCGAAGAAACCTGGAGGAACGTGGCCAATGATGTAAACCTGATAAACCAAACAATACAGAGTTAACTAAAATCCAATCAGGACCAAATCTCTTTTTTGGAGGGGCAATTGCTTATACAGGGATTGTATTCATTACAAACTCCATCTTTTACTGAGCTCTAGTCCCTAACATCCAAACATCCATGAACAAGATGAGATGCTTTGCCTTCTCTTTGTTGTTGGTTGCCTCTGTAAGAATCTGATCTGACCAACTAAACTGGTCCGCTGGGTCATCCATGTTCGTGGTCAGCTTGTTCTGATCATAGTAGAGATTGGTGTTAAGGACCAGCATCCTGAAACCAGTCTGATTCATGAGCTTTTCTGTGTAGTATCCACCTGTGCAAGAGGAACATCCCAGATAATGTGTGTTTACATTTTTCCTGTGCATCATAAGCTGATGTATTCATTCTTTGGAAAGTAATTGCACATATATTTGTAACTATTAGAGAAAGCCTTCTTCACCTTTTTTAAATGTTTCTTTTGACTTTGGATCCAACCAGCCTTGCCACATTTCTGCTATTCGGTCATACATAGAGCTTGGGGCTGCAGGAAGCTGACTCTTCGGGTGGTAATCATGGTTCCCCAGGGCTGAGTACACTTTAGTGTCTAAACAAGACAATAATGTATAAAAGACATTATTTATTAGAAGCAGCCAACACTAAAACACTATCATATGTGTTGACCTTGCATGTTTCCGCCTGATTTTGTAATTACTTGGAAACACTCGATTTATGATGTCAGTGAGGTTGTTGATAATGTTGAGCACTGCGTCTTCTCCCAGATCTTTATTATCAACATGTGGAGTGTCATCACTGAGAAGTAACACAGCAGATTGTTTCAGGATTAATTGCAGTCAAACATGTCAATACCAAATACTAATCTGAAAATATCATGACTGTAAAGGCAAACAAGCATTTATTTCCCCAGATATAGTCTTAAGACTAGCACTGTCCTGCAATATTCATTAAAAAAAAAAAGTAACATACCCAGTCCATACGATGAAGTCCGGGTTTGGTAGAATACTCTTCATTGCATAAACAGAAGAGTTGATCAGGTGCCATGGCGAGTCACAAACATAGTCTCCAAATTTACCAGCATTGGCTGCAGGTCGTTTGCCACTGGATGCGCACACCAGTGCAGGATTGTTGTTGCTCAGTTCGTACGTTGGGTCCCAGTGGAGATCCGTGATGTGCCAAAAGTTCCCTGTGTAAGAACGATGCGTAATGGCATCCAGTAAGTTATCCCGAGATTAAGATATATACTTGATTTATCTGATGCTTACCCGAGAGCGCAAAAGCCTCTTTACAAAGAAAGCAAGACAGAAGCAGCCTTACTGCCGACATGTCGAAGCCTTTGAGAGGAAGAAACATCCGACAAAAATCAAGACCTGGTTTAAAAGGTATGCCGTAAGTCTATAAAGGCGAAATCATGATAAGATGACTGGTCATGACACGTCTGAGGCTTAAAGGTGTTTGGATCCCTATGTGCAGGGGATACTTCGCTATCAGTAATGATGCAAGACTACATTTTAGCCTGCATACAATTAAATAAATAAAAATAAGTATCAAAATAAATCTAAAGACAATAAAAAGCTTCGGCTGAAAAAAGCTCTATACACATATATATATATATCTATATATATCTGTGAAGCTATTTGAGAGTCGAATTCCTGCTTGTAGACTACGCCTAGCCTATTTTTATGTGGACTAAATTTAAATTTAGTAGACCACCTTTTACAGTTACCTTATTTGGGCATGCGCTGTTTAAGAATCCAATAAATATACATACATTCATAGCAGGAGTATATAGACACAGTATATTAAAACACGTGCGAATGTTTTCGCTGTTACACTGTAATATTTCACTAAATACAAAAGGATTTTATTCATAGTGCCCTCGCGTGATACTCGTGTTTCCCCAAATCGACGCTGTTATAACTGTGGAGAATCTGTTTCTCAAGCTGATGATGCAAATAAAAAATGTTTTGCTTTGTTTTGGTTTTGTTATTATTTGTTTCGCTTATTGCTTTTTACAGTAAAGGGGCGTTTTTAATCATCGTTGGAAATTTTGCAATATTTGTCTGTTTTTGATAAACACAGCTATGGGTTTGCAAATGTTCTTTGGAAATGATTTATTATGGCAATTGCAAAGCCGCAAAACCGCGCGTGAGCACGTAGTGCTTCGGGAAGTTCATGAAAACAACCTTAGGACTCTTTCAAAATCATTCCCTGATGTTTCTCTTTCAGGCAGACGTAACTCCCAGGACATGGGCAGCTTCATTAAGTAATATGGCAAATAATAATAATGATAATGATAATGTTAGTACATGTTAAACAGTGGTTTGGGACCAGAGTTTGTGCTTTTGCATTGGTCAGTCTTGGCGCTGGAAGGGGAACGATAGCCTGACAAGCAAAAATTAGGGCTGAATTACCTGACGTAGAAGATCTGCGTCATCATAGATTTCGCGGGAGTTCCACTGTGCGCCTGCGCCGTACATTGAAGGTTGCGCGCGGGATTAAACGAGGAAGAGGACCAGAGAAATACGTTTGGCTACATACATTACTGCACGTAACATTTTACGCCTTACTTTAATAAGTTAAACAAACAGCGGAAGCATGTGGAATCAGGGTGAGTTGTATTTCGACACCGTTGTGTTTATAAAGCAGCCATATGGACTCGGTGTCGCTGTGTTGTTTCGGTCCACGTTAGCTTGACTACAGACGTCTTTGTTATTGTGTGTTGAATGTGAGTGAAGGTGGGATCATGTTTAATAAACGATTTCGGTGACACAGTTGTTTACCTCTTTATACATTTTCAGGAGGGTACAGTGAGTCCAGTATGGCTGGGGGCTACACTCAGTCTCCAGGAGGATTTGCATCACCTGCCTTATCCCAGGGGGGAGAGAAAAA